GGGCCACTGGGTCGAGCTTCTTTGAGAGGTATGCCACAGGCTGCTTCCATGGCCCCAAAAGCTGAGTAATCACTCCCTTAGCCACCCCATTTTTCTCTGCCACATACAGGGTAAAGGGCTTGTTTAAGTCTGGCAATGCCAGGGCTGGTGCCGATGCAAGTGCAGTCTTAAGCAATTGAAATGCCTGCTGGCGAGCCTCAGTCCACTTGAGGGGTGTATTTCCTCCTGCAGTGGCCTCGTGCAGGGGTTTGGCAATCTCAGCAAAGCCAGGAATCCAAATCCTGCAATAGCCAACCACCCCTAGGAACTCTCGCACCTGTTTCTTTGAGCCTGGCTTCCGAATCTGGAGAATTGTGGATACTCTCGATTCTGCCAGCCTCCTCTTTCCCTTTTCAAGAATATAGCCCAAGTAGGTTACCTTGGTCCAGCAGAGCTGAGCTTTCTTCCAAGACACCCGATATCCCAGGTCTTGGAGGGCTTTCAGGAGGCCCTCGGTGGCTGCAATGCATTCTTTGTCGGTTGAAGTCGCCACCAGGAGGTCATCGACATACTGAAGAATAGTCGCCTGGGGAAACACTTTTCTTACCTCTTGTAAGTCTTTGCTGAGAGCTTCCCCAAACAGAGTGGGGGAGTTTTTGAATCCCTGCGGCAGCCGGGTCCATGTCAGCTGTCCGGTAGTTCCAGTGTCTGGGTCAGTCCATTCAAAGACAAAGAGGGGCTGGCTCACAGGTGCTAGAGGCAGGCTGAAAAACGCATCTTTAAGGTCTAATATTGAGTACCACACATGACCGGGAGGGATGAGACTCAACAGAGTATAGGGGTTTGGTACTGTTGGGTGAATGGTCTCCCCCCGGCTGTTTACTTCCCGCAAATCCTGTACCGGTCTGAAGTCTGAGGTGCCAGGCTTCCTCACAGGAAGCAGGGGTGTATTCCAGGCTGACTGACAAGGGATCAGGATGGCGGCTTCCTGGAGTCAGTGGATGTGCTTGGATATCCCTACCTTGGCCTCCAGCCAAAGGGGATACTGCCGCACATGGGCGGGGGGTGGCAGAGGCCAACAATTGAACCACTACTGGGGCATGGTGTTTGGCCAGTCTGGGTGGATTGGTTTCAGCCCATACTTGGGGAAACTTTTTCTGAAGGTAGTCCCATTTTTGTTCAGGAGGTTCTGAGCCCTCCTTTAGCAGCTTAAATTCATCTTCAAGGGGAACTGTTACCATAATGGCAGAGGGTGGCTTGAGTTTGAAAGTCCCTCCTTCAGGCTCAAAGGAAATAACAGCCCCCAATTTTCATAGTAAATCTCTTCCCAACAATGGGTATGGGCACTCCAGGATGACTAAGACAGAATGAGTAACAGTGCCTTTTCCCAGATTTACAGTTCATTTAGTGGTCCAAGGATAAGAGGCCAACTTTCCTGTGGCTCCGGTAATGGAGGACTTTAGGGAAGAAAGGGTTCCAAGGGGGGGTCTTCAGGACAGAGTGGGCCGCGCCAGTGTCCACAAGGAATTGGACATCTGTTCCCCCTATTTCCAAAGTCACCATAGGCTCATTAGGGTCAAGCGGCCATGAGCCTTGGCCCCGTCAATCTTCCTCATCTACCAAGAGAACTCCATCTCCTTCTTTCTTAGTCTCTTTCTCTCTCTTTCTTTTCAACTTTTCACAATCCCTCTTATAATGGTCCTTCTCTTTGCAATACATGCATTGGTCCTTCTCTAACAAGGGCCATACCTTATTTTTATCCTCCTTTTTATTTTTTCTTTCTTTTTGGACAAAACCTCCATCTGTCAAGGCAGCAATGTTCGCCTTTCCTACCTTTTTAGCCATTCTATCCTCAAAAGGATCCCTATTGTTAAACACCTTCATTCCCACACTCATCAACTTTTCCCTGTTTTCTCCCTCAAATCCCTCCATCCGCTGTAATTTCTTTCTAATATCTGGAGCTGACTGAGTAACAGAAGCCAAATTAATTGCCTGTTGATTTGCAGGGGCATCTGGGTCAATTGGAGTATACGTACAGTATGCTTCCAACAGACGCTCCAGAAAGGCAGAAGGGGATTCCTCAGGTCCTTGAAGGACCTTGCTTACCTTGCTCAAATTGGTACGCTTTCGAGTGGCTCCCCTCAAGCCGGCTAGGAGATGCTGACGGTAGTTTTGGAGAGCTTCTCTCTCGTCCGAGGAATTAGCTTGCCACCGGGGACAGGTGGACGGAAGTTGCGCCTCAATACGGGCTTGTTGTTGCTCTTTGAGTGGGCCCTCCGTTCCTCCCAATACTGATTTTATGGCTTGCCCTCGAATTCTTTCTCTTTCCTCGGAGGTAAAAAGGGCTTGGAGGAGTTGTTGACAATCATCCCAGGTAGGACCATGGGTATGAAAAACAGATTCTAGGAGGGAGACCAAAGCCTGGGTTTTTCTGAAAAAGGGGGATTTTGATGTTTCCAATTGTACAAGTCACTGGTAGAAAAAGGGATATAGACATAATGACCCTGCCCTATTTCCTGAAGAGGTAAAAGAGGTACCGAACCAGCCCCTTCAGTGGGAGCCCTGCTGGGACCATAAGCAGCCCCTGTTCGTGTGTGGGAGGGGGAGGTTACAGAATCCAGAGATTTTTCCTCTTCAGGAAGAGGAGGGTAGAAAGGGTTTCGAGATCTGGGGCCGGCTTTATCAGAGGAGGAGGATGGCTCCACATAGGGTGGAGGTCTTATAAAGGGATCTAAGGGATCAGAATCTTGTGAGAGGACCAGCTTGGGAGCCTGGGCTTTGACCTCTCGGGGTTCCCTTGGGGCCATAACCAAAATGCGAGAGTTCCTTCGCCAGGAACAACACTGCAACCAAGCTGGAGGCTCTTGACAAGCCTGAACCCAGATATTTATATATGGAAACTGATCAGGATGGCTAGGGTGCTCGGTGACCCTTTTCCATACCCCCCGGCAGAGGCTTGGGTCAAAAGAGCCCTCAGCTGGCCATCCAACTCCAAAGGCTGCCCATTCCAATTGACACAGGGAGCGAAGTTTTCCACGAGAAAATTTAACCCCATATTCGTCCTCCTGCTCTGGGGAAAAAGCCAATTTAAAATTAGTGAGCAAACAGTCCAACGGGGTAGTCTTGGAGCAGGATCCTCCCATCTCTGTCCTTGATGGTTTAAAAAGAAATTCAAAATTAAACACACAACGGATAGGACACTAACATATGAATGACAAGACGAACAGGCGCCACAACAAAAGTGAAACTAAATCTTCCCTTGTTCCTCGTCAGGAACCTTGGGGTCAGGGGAGGCTTACCGGCCCGTCGGCCACCTCACTCCTGACTTAACAAATGGTTGCAACCGGCCAAAAACTTACCTCCGGAGGTTTTCTGAGGTCTGTGCCTGAGAGTCTCCTGCTGGATCCCTCCACAGAGTCTCGGCTGAACCGGGGTTCCTTACCTGGGAATCTCGCTGGGGCCTCCAAAATGTAAGACCGAGGGCCTTACCAAACGCTCCGAGGAGCTGACTGCAGTGAAGAACACCCGGGAAGGAACACACCGACAAGTTGGAAAGTAAAACAGACCTTAGTCTGGCCAGACGGCACTCCCAAAGCAAAGTAGCTTAGAGAGGCAACCAGCCCAGAGTCCGAGGCTCTTTTATAGGGGGTTGCAGGGGAAGTTAACAGGTGAAATTTACAGAAGAGGAACAAAGGTTAGTGGTCAGCTGACATGTACTGATGGTCAGCAGATGTTTGTAGATTGTTCTATAGATAGCGGTGTCTGGAACATCAGTTTTCCAACAAAGAGTTGAGTAATTTACTTTGGGACCTTATGGCTGATACAGATCTTAGCTAACAAGCATCTTTATCTATTTACTCACATTCAATCACAGTTGAGGCTAGGGGAGTTTTACGATTACAGAGTTATGCAGTCCCACATGCTGGGGATTTAGCTCAGTGGTTCTGGCGCTGCCTCACAAGCGCAAGGTCCCAAGTTCAATTCCCGGTACCAAAAAAAAACAACAAAAAACCCCACCACTAAATACAAGCCATAACATTCCGCCCCTGGCTCCCAAATGACTGATGTGGATCCATTTATGCAAAATGCATTTAGTCCATCTCTAAGAGTTGTCAAAGTCCTAATATTATAGACAACTAAGTTAGAAATATTATAGGCAGTCAGACAGGGCTAGGCCCTCAAAGAACCCAATGCAGAAAAGAACACATGTAGTGGATAGAGGTGCATTCCTTAAAGGCCAGACCTCAAGACAAAGATGAGCTGACTACCCTGCCTGGGTGGGGGACCAAAATTTTAATAGATCCCTTCCAGGAAAGGTCTTTGTTCTTTATGTGACTTGCTTCCTCATTGGGTCAATAGTACCTAGGTGACTATACTTGTAATCTTATTGGTTGGCCCATAGTTTTGTCCCACCTTATGCCCATCTTGTGGCTACCTCATGGTTTTGCTGTATAAAATTTCTTTGAGAAGTGGGCTCATGGGTTACCCACTTTCTGAGCCCTCTCCTGTCCCTCAATAAATATTTCCTACTCTTAACTGCCATTGTTCCTAGAATTCATTTTTATTTTATTTTATTTTGGTACCCGGGATCAAACTCGGGAACTTGTGCTTGCAAGGCAGGCGGTGGAACCACTGAGCTAAATCCCTGGCCCCATTCTTTGATTTTAGAGAGTATGAACTTGGTGTATCAGACATCTAACAGGTTGGGAGTTATAATATTTCCCCTGTATCATTTGGAGGTCCTATATCATCTCTATATCGCTAACAGTTTCAGCATTGCTGAAAAGTCCAACTCCAAAGTCTCCTCTGAGATTCAAGGCAAAGTCTTAGCTGTGAGCTCCTGTGAAAATCAAAAGAAAGTTAATACTGCCAACATACAAATGCAAAGGGTAAACATTCCCATTTCAAAAGGGAGAAAGAGGAAGAAAAAAAGGAATGGGACCAGAGCAAGATCCAAACCCAGCAGGGCAAACATTGAATTCTGTACTTCCATGTCTAGCACCTGGAGCAAGTTATGGTGAGATGAGAACTCCAATGGGCTGGGGTAACCCTGCCTCTATGTCACTGCTGGTGGTTGTAGTTCTCAGGCCTTCTCTCCTGGGCTGGCTTGCTCATTCCTTGCAGCTTTCTTCAGACATTTCACATTCTCTGCTTTTCTAACATCCGTGGGTTTCCACTATACTTTGGGCTTCACACTCAATTTTAAGCACTGCCCTCTCCAGGAGAACCTTTCCTAGCTTCCCAAGCCTTCTTTTGGAGAATAGTGCTCTAGGGCTCTCCAAAGCAGTCTTTAACTTTTGATTTTTGAGCCTTCCAAGGGATTGGGCCTTACTGTTTCCTCACGTACCCTCAAGGTATCTTTCCTATTTCCTGTTGTAAAGTACTTGGCTTCTTTTTTTTTATTTTTTTAGCTTTGCACATGTAACGGAGCAGTTTCATTTGCATCTAAAGTTCTAACAAAAGCTGTAGCAATCAAGAATGGCAGCACATCATTCTATAACAATCAACATTGTAGCTTTTCAAATTTGGTTTTTAGAAGAATTTATCTTTCAGTAAATCTATTCATGCTTTTAAAAATTGCTTTAGGGAGGGGCCGGGGATTTAACTCTAGTGGTTCCACTGCCTACCTCGAAAGCCCAAGGTCCTGAGTTAGATCCCTGGTACGGCAAGAAAAAAAAAATTGCTTTAGGGGGCCAGGGATTTAGCTCAGTGGTTTCATCACCTGCTGAGCAAGGAAGGATCTGAGTTCAATCCCCGGTACCAAAAAAAAATAAATTAATTAAAAAAATAAATAAATAAATAAAAATTGCTTTAGGTCACTCCAAACTTGGCAGTTAACATTTGGCATAAACAAGAAAAAAATCACAATTTGATAAATAACAGATAATACTGTAGGCTGTAAACATACAACATAAGGAAATGGTGGTGTAAGTCAGTAATCATTAAGTTACTAGAATACCTTGGCCTCTATGCAGAGGGTTTGATTCACTAGCCTGGACACCCAGTTTTCAAAATAGGAGCAATGTCTGCAGTACCATTTCTAACACTGCAAACAAGTAGAGAATGAGGAATTCTTTTTTTTTTTTTTTTTTTTTTTTTTTTGGTACCAGGGATTGAACTCAGGATCTTGCCTTTGCGAGGCAGGCAGCAGAACCACTGAGCTAAATGAGAAATTCATTTTTATTAATAAATTACACCCTCAGGAGTTAGAATCAACACCTTAGTGTAAAAATGTTCAAGTTATATCAGTCATAACCGTGTGCTTATTTTAAAAGGTGGTAAATGGATTAAATGGAGACAGCAATGCTTCCCCTAATGTGATTGATCTTACCGTGTTTACAGCTACGAAGCCCTAAAACTTCAGGTGTTTGAACTGAACATTGATGAGCACACGTATATTTCAACCTGATATGCTTGACTCTGTTATTTGGTCAACTGTCCATTTACTCTGAAATTAATATTTTAATATTGTCAAAAGTTGATGTAAGTGGCATAATAACTAATATGCTGAAATGGTTATAGTCACAAATGGCACTTAAGGCTGGGAATTTGGCTCAGTGGTTTCACCGCCTGCTGCGCAAGCGCAAGGACCCGAGTTCAATCCCCAGTACCAAAAACAACCCCCAAAAAACCCCAAATGGCAGTTAACAAGGATATGGGGAGATCCCACTCCCAAGCCACCCAGTAGTTGGAATTACTGTATATACTGTCACACAACTATAACAAATTGGATTTAAAGCTGTTTACTTGAGTTTGACATCTTCACATACCCAAGATATGTACCTTATATGAAAAGTGTTTATTCAAAATCAAATTTTTTTGTAGCTGTTAAGCTCTTCCCTTAAATGTAAATAAAATGGGACAGAAACTTTTAATAACCAGGACTCAGAAAATTTAAAAGAATAATTTGAGTTAGGAATCAAATATACAGAGTCAAAGAAGGAAAAAAAAAATCAGCTAGAAGACAAAGATCCAAGTAGCATCTCAGATGCAGAGCAATTTTGTAAAGGAGGAAAGCACCTGTGATCACCTGCAGCTTCTCAGATCATTCTAGCAAGTGTCTCCAGGTACCACCTGTGTCTGTAAATGGTATTTCCCTAAATAAAGGGCCTTGAATGGACATTCAGTGTGTTTCCTGGGAGATGAAGTGAAGATATTTTCGTTTTGCTTAACTCACAAACTATTTGGTCAAAGAAATATGTAAAGCTAAATAAAAGCACATCTGGTAGAAATCCATAGCAATGAATGTTGACAAGATGTGCTTGGATCTTGCTTGCAGCATCTGGCAGTGGGTAGTGGGACAAAGGTAGCAATCTTGCAGGCTCTCCTGTGTTTGTTCTGGAGGTGGCTCCTTGGAGGTGGCACTAGCATTTGCAGTTGAATTCAAGACTTTTCCAAAATCATCGCTAGCCGGCTTGGTTCCCCCTACTTTAGACTTTAAGTTTTTGACCTTTTCTTCAAATGACTTGAAGTTTTTTTTACATCTTCCAGCTTTTTGGTGATAACAGAGCCAACAGATGAAAAGGCCGCTGAAGTCTTCTGTCCTGCCTGAGATAAGGTTTCAGAGGTCTCCCTGTATGCGGATGTGGCTGTCACATCCTGCCACCCTTCGGCAATGTTCTGCTTTAGCTCCTGTAGTGAACCAATCCCAAGTTTCCGCTTGATCTCTGCTAGATGCTTCTCTTTTGCTGCTAACACTTGAGACAGAGTTTGGATTTCTTCTTCCACCTTTGCCAGCTCTCTTCTCAGCTCATCCTGCTCCTCTTCCGAGAGTGTCTTGGTGGTGCTGAGGGTGGCTGCAGCATCTTCTCCTTCCTCAGGTACTGGGTCTGTCCTCAGCAAACCAAGTTTCTCAGTAGGTGATCCGGGTGGAGACGAATGCCCACTAGGGGACAGGTACAGGTAGTTTTTGTTCACTCCTGCATTGAAATCGAATGGGGACTGGTAGTCTTCATATCAGTCTGTGTCTCTGTGATCCATCATCCCAGGCAGACGCAGAGTGCATGGGTTTATGGCTGCCTAAGCTCCTTCCCTAGTCGCTCCCCGCTTTGGCCTTATTCCCCACTTGGCTTTTTAATGCTAATCTTTCTAGCAACCAAACTCTCTGATCTATCTTTTCAAGGTCCAACTTTACCAGGGTTCCTTTCTGGCCAAATTCAAAACTTTTATATTATTCAGCTGGGATGTTTGGTCTTTATTCTCAATGTAGAGCTGGCTAAAGTCCCCCAACAGTACCTGTGCCACAGCTGCAACATTAGACTGCCTTGAAATTTCCTCTGTTGGATTGATTACTCCAATGCCCTTAACCTCAGTTTCCCACAGTATCAGGACATGAAGAAAATGCAGACAAATTTACTGCCAGAGCATAGCACACTATTAGGAGTCCAACTGCCAATGGAGTCATTATTCCCATCTGAAACTTCCTGAGCCTGGTCTTTTTCATCTGTATTTTTATCAGCATCCCAGTCTTTTTTTATAACCAGCACTACAAATAGAGTTAAATGGCTTCCAAATGTCTTCAGGTCTAGTGCATAAATGACCCCCCCACCTCCCCTCTGCCTAGGGAATGGACAGAAATCATGGAGGAAAGGACAGATCCTGGCACCTGGAGGTCAAGCCTAATTTCCTTCCTTAGGCAAGGGAGGGAGAGGTCTGGGACCAGGAAGGGAGGGAAGTAGCCTGAAATTGTTTATTGTTCCATTGTATTCTTCTCCACACTAGTCCTTACTATAAAAGACCCTTGTCCACTTGTACAAGTTGAGGCACCTTGAGGCAAATAGGTCCCTCCCTGAGAGTTTTTTCTCTTCTCTTCTCCTCTCCTCTCCTCTCCCCTCCCCTCCCCTCCCTTCCCTTCCCTTTCTTTCCAAAGTATATACCCTCCTTTGACTTGGTCATCAGTGAGCAAAGGAACCCAAGAGTATGAATTTAAGTGGTCAATGGCATTCTGAGCTCTGAACAGAATCTCCAATCAAGCTAGACTTATAGCATTCTAGGGCAGCTCTCCAGCTTCTTCAAACCTTTCCAAATTCCACCTTCCAACCAGTTCCAAAGACTTCTCTTTTTTTTTTTTTTTTTGTACCAGGGATGGAACTTGGAACCTTGCGCTTGGGAGGCAGGCAGTGGAACCACTGAGCTAAATCCCCAGCCCCCAGAGACTTCTTAACCACATAGTCAGGCAGTCATCAGAATGATCTCACTTCTTTGGTACTATTATAGACACCCAAGTTAGGTAGAAGTATTATAGGCACTCAGATACGGCTGGGCCCTAGATGAAAACACATTACAACTGTGGCTGGGGGCACACCCAGGCCACAAGATAAAGACGAAATGACCAAGCCTACATACTTCCCCAAGGGATAAGTTCTAACACCTGGCCCAATAAAGTCTAGATAGACATCAGTCACTCTAGTGGGTGACCAAGACCTCTGGATCCATCCTTCCCTTAAAAGGTTCTTTGTTCTTTCCATGTATTCTTGCTACATGACTTGCTTTCCCATTGGGCCAATATTACCTAAGTGACTATACTTGTAATCTCATTGATCATAATTTTGTCTCACATTGTACCTGTAACAAGTGGTGTGGAGGAATGAGACCACTCGAGCAGGCTAGTGAAAGCAAAGAGGTACAGACTTTATTCACCTGGGGAAAGGTGGACTGATGGCAAGCAAGAGGCCGCCAATCCCAAACAAAGAAAAGCAGAAAGCTTTATAGAGCATTGCAAGAGAGGTCTGGCACATGTCATTTGCATATAGGGGTCAGAACAAATATATGTGGTCAGGGTCCATGCAGCAATCAAGGCAGATGTATGGATATTTTCAGGTGACTTGGCATCGAAAAGATGCTGTACTTTGTAGTTGTTATCTCTATGTTGGGAACATCTCATCATGTGTTCTGTATTCTATCTGCTCCAAGATAGTACTGGCATGGCTGCCTGTTTTGCTGTGGTTTTTTTAATCTTGTCAAACTGTAGTTTGGAATTAAAAAAACATATTCATTAGGGCAAGGTCCTGAGTTCGATCCTGATACCAAAAAAACAAACAAACATATTCATTAACCACTTCAGGACTAGGTCAAGTCTGAGAGTACCCACCTCATGATTTTACTTTGTAAAGCTTCCCCTGTGAAGTGGGGGTCCCATGCAACCCACTTGGGTACCCTCTTGCCTCTCAGGAGCTATAAAATCTCTCCCTCTCAATAAATATTTCCTAGTCTTTTGAAGCAAAACATTTATTGGTACAATATTTCCTACTCTTAACCTCCATTGTTCCTTAGAATTCATTCTTTGAGTTTGGGGAACATGTATCTGACATCTAGCACATTATATTCTTCCCGTTATATCATTTGGAGGTCCTGTCTTAGTTACGCTGTCATTGCTGAGACACAATATCTGACACCCACAACTCTGTGGAGGAGAGTTTTATTTTGGCTCACAGTTTGCAGAGATTTCAGTTCATAGATGGCTAGCTCCAAGGCAAGGAGGCATGGGAGAGGAGAATGAGCTGATGGCATGGGAGTAGGAAGCATAAACTGGAGGGCAATTTTATTTTATTTTTTTCAGGTTTTTTATTTTTTATTTTTGGTACCGGGGATCGAACTCAGGACCTTGCCCTTTCGAGACAGGCGCTGGAACCACTGAGCTAAATCCCTGGTCCATTTTTTTCAGTTTTTTTGAGCGAGGGTCTGGCTATGTAATTCAGTATGAGCTCAGACTTGAACTCACTATGTAGCCAGGCTGGCCTTGCACTTGGTGATCCTCTTGCCTCAACCTCTGGAGTGCTGGGACTATAGGTGTGCACCACACCTGGCTTTGGAGGGCATTTTAGATCCAAACCATAACAATCTTCATTTTACAAGTACAGATATGAAGCAATCTATTAAGACTACAGGAAATTATAGTGGTTGGGCTGGGGATGTCTGAGTTTTAGACCATTTACCTAATGTGTATGAAGCCCTGGGTTCAATCCTTAACACTGCATAAGGAAAAAACAAAACAAAAGAAAGAAAGAAAGAAAGAAAGAAAGAAAGAAATCTTATAGTGATAGTTCTGAGAATAAAATGTAGGCAAACTTTATGACATCTACCTAGTCTCATTTTAAAGATTTGTTATCTTTTCCTCTCTGTATACGCCATTATTTGCAATAAACATTAGTGTTTTATAGTGCTACAGACAGCTTAGTTCTTAATATAATGGGTTTTTTTTGGGGGGTGTATCGGTGATCAAATTTGGGACCTTCAGCTCGAGAGGCAGGAGGCGGAACCACTGAGCTAAATCCCCAGACCCCTTAATATACTGTTTTGTGATACACTATAGGAAAAAAATTCTCAACCATGTTGTGCATTGTTGGCTCTCTGCTCAATTTTGAAGACACAATTTTTAGCAATATAATCTTTATATATGGCTTATTCATTGTTGTATAGATTTGTTTTTCTTTTTTTTTAGTACGGGGGATCCAGCTTGGGACCTTGTGTTTGCGAGGCAGGCAGTGGAACCACTGAGCTAAATCCCCGGCCCTATTTTTTAATTTTTTATTTATTTTATTTTTTTTGAAGGGGGAAAGGATTTATTTGGCTTACAGTTCATAGAGGTTTTAGTGCATAATCAGCTAGCTGGCTCCAAGGCGTAGCGGCAGAGGGGCAACAATTCATGGTGACAGAAGACAGCAAAAGCAACAAGAGCTATTTTTTTATTTTTTTGAGACAGGGTCTCGATTTTTAGTTCAGACTGACCCTGAACTCATTATGTAGCCCAGGCTAGCCTTGAACTCTCGGAGATCCTCCTGCCTCTGCCTCCCGAGTGCTGGGATTACAGGTGTGCACCATCGCACTGGGCCAGATTTTTTTCCCTCCTCTCTCTTAACCTTTTGTTAGGCAACAGCCTATCTCTACCTTAAGGAAAAAAGATAGAAAAGCTTCATAGTCTCACATTTTGTGATCACGTCCTCGGCCTGCTCCTTGGCCTGCTCCTAAGCGTAGTTTCCGATTCTGGTCACATGGCTCAGGTAATGGGCCACACCTTCTTACCTCCATGGACTGACACTTCACTTCTCAGCCCTCAACCAAACTTCCAGATTTGGTTTTTATAAATGATCTAATTAATACCTTAAGTTGTAGGATAGAAAGTTTCCTACTTCAAGTCAGATGAGTTATTTTGTCAATAACTTGCTGAGTGACTTTGGCAAGTCCCTTAACCTCAGTTTTTTTCTCCTGAGTTAACGATTATCAAGATAGAATTACAGAACATTAAAATTGCTAGACTTGGGAAATTACACAGTGGAATTCCTTCAATCTATGGAGAGATTAAATGACTTACCCTAGCCATCTACACAGTGAGGAACTTTTCTAGAACAAGCGCCAAGTCTTAGGTATCGGTGCTCTTTTCATTACATTACTGTTCCAAGAAATGAAAAAAAAAAAAGTGAAGGCACTAAACAATACGAGGCCATTTAAAAAAAGCCAAGTATTAACCATAAGCAGGCACTGTAGCTTGAAAGTTTATTTTAAAATAATTTGAAAGTTACCCTAACTTAAATATTACTTACAAGTTAGACGTTCTTAAATTAAATAGATCAGAAAAAAGAATAGGCAGGGTTTAAAAATCTACGGTGGGTTTGCAGAACACCCTTGAATGGAAAACAAGCCTCCCACAAGAGTCCTTACGGATTTGTGAAAGAATGTGAGAATTACCTGAAACCGTATTATTTGCCTCGCCATTTCCCACTTACACTGAACACTGTAACATCAGTTGTCTAATTTAGCGCCGTTCCCTAGCCCAAGAAACAGCTTTAACCTGCGGAAACCACAGTCAACCCAAAGACTCCAAGTCCCAAAATGCTCGCTGGGCTGTCTCCACCGCCTGCTCTCAGGAGCTGTGCTTCCGTCTGGGAATTGTAGGCATGCGGAGCTTGCGCTTCCTGGATGTGGGGCAGAGGATGAACCATGTGAACTACAACCCCCAGGAGGCCGCGCGGCTCTTCTATCCCGCGGGCGTCGCGCTCCGCCTCCAGCCGCTCCTCCCTCTCTGGGCTGCACAGCTCACGCCTTCCTGTTAGTCGGAGCTGGGAGAAGTTCACTAGGATCAGCTGATCCCAACTGACATCAGGAAAGGAGGAAGCCCGGGAGGCGACGAAGGAGGAGAGGACAGAGATGGAGACGAGGATGGGTTCGCCAGTGTCCTGAGGGTCAGCCTTTGCCCCCACAGCCGTCTCGCGAACCCCCAATGCCGCCTTGCGGCGGCCGCGCTGCTCTGTGGTGGGAACCCGGGGCCGCGGTGGGCAGGGCGGGGAGGGCACGGCCCTGCACCGGGCGAGCGATAGTCCTGGGGCTCCGGCTGTCCCCGGGAGGAAGGGGGGCCGGGTGCGGCGCGGGTGGGTGTGGGGTGGTATAAACAATGGATTCGGCTCCGGGCTGTGCTGGCGTAGGGGGGATTTGGGGGGACCTTCTTTGTTCTTCGGCTCCGCTCCTACCCCTCGGGTTGTGTTGTGTTGTCTGGGAGGAAGGCAGGGTGAGGAACCCCGCTTTGGAGTGAGGCGTCGAGGTGGGGACCCCAGTGGAAAGATTGTTTGCTTGGCCTGGAGGGCATGAGGTGTTCTTTTGGAGGTTGATTTTATATTTTTTCACAATCGTGACAAGTTTTGATTTTTGTTTCCGTTTTGGGTGCTGGTTGGGCACGTCTTTGGTTAGAGTGTAAATAAGGAACCCTGGTCCCTCCCTTGCCTTCCTTGTTTATCTGAAAATAAGATTGATAGATTGATTACAGTAGAAGAGTGAGTATCTGAAAGGAGGACTTTACACTTTGTCGGGCATTGGGATGGGAACCAAGGGTAGGGAGAATCAGGAGTGTAATTGTAAAAATGACCAGAGCCCCTTTCCTGATCCAGTTGTCTTTTTTTCCCTTTGTTTTTGAAGTTATTTTTATTTTTATTTTTGAGTAACAAAGATTAAAATTATTTTGTTCGACTCACTGAAGGCCTGGTTTTATGGTGGACCATAGTGTGGGAATTCTGTCTCCTGTTGCTCTCTTTTTGTTTTGCTGTTAAAGAAGCAACAAAAGGAAGTACAATAATTGTTTTATTGTTTTTGAACATGAAAATGGGACTTGTTTTGAAATGTAGAGTCCTTATTAAGCATCTATCTAGTAGAGTTCAAACAGTTATGGGGATAACTGGATCTGCCTAGGTCTATGATGGGTTTAGAGTTTCTTATTTTCTTTAGGTTTTTATGGGGTTCCTTTTCTCCATCTCCTAGTTGTGAGGTTCAGAGGATTATTTCAAGAATTGTTCTCTTAGTGATTCTGATTCTGAATTTAGTAACTGAGTGAACAGCACTTTACTCAGGAATAGAACAACAAGCCTTGGGCCTAAAGGTTATGTTTGTTAAAAAGAAGAGCCTTAGGCATGCTTTTGAGAAGAAATTCCTAGTATTCTAAGACAGTAAGTTTTATAAACAAGAATGAGAGCAGAGAGCGATGATCCCCAGCACTCAGATGGGAGGCTGAGATAGGAAGATTGCTGAGAGTTCAAGGCCAGCCTGGACTACATAGCCAGACCCTGTCTCAAAACAAAAACAAAAACAAAACACAAAACAAGGAAGAATGAGAATTCTCTCAGTAATTTTGACCTAGTATTTAATTACAGTCTTGTTTTTCTGTTTGTTTTTGTTTTTTTCTGTTTTATTTAAAAAATTTTTATTTAACAAAACTCTTTAATGAAATTTATAAAAATGCATCTTTGGGAATAATTTTCTTAGCTTGAATTGTTTTCCTTTTCTACTCCCAAAGAAAATACAGAATTATCAGCACCCACACACATTTACACTCAAAAGTACACTTTCTACACCCAGCTACATTAGATAGGCTTTAAACTGCAGGAAAATCAAGTGTTTTTCTGTTTTGAGGCGCACTTCTGTTTTCTAGGTGAGTGAAATCCTTTTCCTTCCTCTATTTTAGGTGTCCCTGAAATACTGACTTGAATTACTCTGAAAAGATCCTGACCACTTTGTCATTACCAAAACTTTGTGGCTGAGGCCCAGAAAGTGAGCCTGTAACACATTACACTTTTCTCAGATTGTCATCAAAGACCTTTTCAAATTCATTTTGACTATATCTTTGCCTGCACTTTACCGAAGATGAAACCATCAAACCAAATCAACGTTGCTGCTGATACAAGAGTTTGGGAAGCAGAAAATTAAAAATCTGAATATTTGTGAATGTGTAAAGAATTATAATAGGACAGTTTTTCTTTTCCAAGGTGTTCAGATCCCTGTGGAAGGTTTGTGTGGTCTTTGGACTCAAAGCCATTTTCTCCATTCTTTGGGAGAGCTCCTTGACTCTTACATGGTGGGTGTGTTTCCTTACCAGTGTGAGTTATGAGTGCCCAGACATCCCTAACAGAGAAGGGCCTGAATCCAGGGCTGATGTGCCAGGAAAGTTATGCGTGCGGTGGGACTGACGAAGCTGTGTTTGAGTGTGATGAGTGCTGCAGTTTGCAGTGTCTCCGCTGCGAGGAGGAACTCCATCGACAGGAACGCCTGCGAAACCATGAGCGGATAAGACTCAAAGCTGGCCATGTCCCTTACTGTGACATCTGCAAGAGTCCCAACGGGCATTCTCCAGGAGTTAGGCAGAGGGCATTGGTGAGGTGCCAGAGTTGCAAAAACAACCTGTGCCTAGAATGCCAGAAGAGAACTCATTCTGGGAGCAACAAGAGGAGACACCCCATTACCCTGTACAATGTCAGTAAGATCCAGGACTCCCTGGATGGGGAAGAGATGGATGAGGAGACCAAGTGGAAGAAAATGACTGAGAAAGTTGTGAGTTTCCTCCTAGTAGATGAAAATGAAGAGATTCAGGTAAGCACTTGGGCCTGGTGGGACTCAGGTGGGGTGGAGCAGGCAGCTGTTAGAAGGTACATTTTAGAAAGATAGGCCAGGAGTTCATATTTTAATCATTAAAAACCAAGTCTTCGAAGGCTTCAGTTGCCTGGAGTCAGATTTAGTTGCTTATCAGCTGCATGACCTTGGGCTGAGTTACTTTTCTCTGAGCTTTAAAAACAAGCTGGAAGTTGGGTGTTGTGGCACAGAGGGAGCCTGAGGCAGGAGGCAACATAGCAAGACCCTGTCTCAAGATAAAAAGTAAGTGCTGGGGAAGTAGCTCAGTGATAGAGTGCCCCTGGGTTCCATCTCTCATGTTGGGGGGAAAAAAAAAGGAACAGTGTCTATTTGTTGGGTTATGACGATAAAATGAGACAGTATTGGTATAGCCTGTTATATAATAGATGCTCAGTATATGGCAGCTGTTGTTAGTATTATTATTAGGAAGAACTGTTTTCAAACAGATTTCTGATAGCACATTGTGAGTAAATGTCAACGATGAGGGACTGTACACATCCGGGGAAAGGAATACTAACTGTATCTGTGGGAATTTTAGGCGATCAGGCATGAACCTGGTAGGCAGGTCTTTTTAAATTTAAAAATTTTTTTCGGTACCAGGGATCAAACTCAGGACCTTGTGCTTGTGAGGCAAGTGAGCCGCCACTGAGCTAAAGCCCAGGCCCTAGGCAGGTCTTTTAAAAGGGGTTTTTAGGGCTGAGGTTGTGGTAAAGCCCAGTATGTCCAAGGCTCTGGTCAATCCTCAGCACTGTGAAAAACAAAGCCTTTTGCAAGGTCAATTTTCTTACCAGATAGCCTCTTCTTTTTATTTAGGGGTTTCTTAGTCCATTATCTGTTGCAATGACAAAATACCTGAGCTCAGGTAATTTATAAGGAATAAAGGTTCATTTAGCCTGAAGTTCTAGAGCCTGGAAAGTCCAAGAGTGAGACACCAGCATCTGGGGAGGGCTTCAGAGTGAGGTAGTGCAAAAATCCTTAAGCTTAGTTCTCTCTTTTCTTTCCTCTTTTCTTTTCTTTATCTGGGGAGTGGACTCAGGGCCTTGTACATGCTAGGTGGGTGCTCTACCACTGAGCGGTACATGCAGTCCTTTTTATAATTTTAATTTTTTTTGAGACAGCCTCACTAAGTTGCCCAGACTGGTCTGGGTTTGAACTTGTAATTGTTTTTTTTTTCTAAAGACAAGGTGTTGCTTTGTAGTTCAGGCTGGCCTTGCACTTGCAGAGATTCTTCTGCTTCAGCCTTCTGAGTGCTGGGATTATAGGTGTGCACTAGCACAGCCCACTGAATTTTAGATTCTTCTGCTTTAGCTTCTGGGGTAGGTGGGGCTGTAGGTGTGCACCACCCTTCACAGCTAGTCTTTCTTATAAAACCACCAATCCATTGATGAGGGCCCCACCTTGATAACTAATCTGTTTTCCAAAGGCTCCTCTTTACCATCAATTTAAAAATTTGAAGGTTAGGCTTTAAGATTCCAGGGGACATTTAAACCATAACTTCTGAGTGGTAAAAGCCAGTGAGAGCATCTAGAGTGACTAGAGGATACCTGGTTTAATGCAGAGGTGGAGAAGGAGTAGCCTGTGATAAGAGCAAGGTGGGAGATGGTAGAGTGTGACGGTTAGGGGTGACCAGGTGAGGGGTGGTTTAATGTTTGTGATTCCAAACAAGTTAGTGTAAGCCTGCCTGTGCTTTGAAGTGGGCTTTCAGGAGAAGGCTGCTTGGTTCACATCCTAGTTCACTACTCACTGTACTGTGTTGTATTATCATGGGCAAGTTGTTTAAGTCTGTGGCTCAGGTTCACTTTGTAGGATTGTTTAGAAGTGCCAAGAGTTTAGGAATGGAATGGACTTATCACTAGGGCCTGGCACATAGTGTCCAGGACCGTTTTGTTAGCAGTATCTGTGGGGTACATGAGGTCCATTGACTGTATCTTTGGTGGTGATGACTTCTTTAATCTCCAGGTGGGAAGGGTTACCTGTATAGTTACCATCTGAGAAATTTCTTAATCACCACTCAATGTTTTTCTTTTTCTTTTTTTTTTGTACCGGGGATCAAACTTGGGACCTTGTGCTTGCGAGGTAGGTGGGGGAACCACTGAGCTAAATCCCTGGCCTCAATGTTTTTCATCTCCTTTTTTTCTCTTTGGACAAGCTGATGGGAATTAATTACATCACAGTTCCTACATCTGTTGTCAGCTAAAGACTTTGCTAACACAGACTTTTCTTTATTGGTTTGAGAAGAAATGACAGAATTATGGAAGAGTGATCTAGATCTTATTCTGCCTCCCTTGTCAGCAATAATGTGTTCATTATGGGTTATGCTCTAATTGAGTGACATTGTGGACTAAATATTTTATAAATGGAGCATTTGGATTTATATGATTATTGTTGGTTTTGATATCAATTCTCCATCTTGTCAGCCTTTGGACAGTCATAGATTGTATTGCCATTACTTTCCTAAAGTGAGAGGAAGATTTGGGGTAAGTCAGTAATCCTCATGAATATGGTGTTGGTACACAGTGTTTTTGAGGAGGAAGGGTATATTTTTTGTCCCCCTTCTGGCCTGTCGTAGCACTAGGGATCAAACCTAGGGAGTACTGAGCACTTTATTTTCATTTTGAGACAGGGTCTTGCTACGTTGCCCATTCTGGCCTTAAATTTGTGATTCTTCTGCCTCAGCCTCCCTAGTAGCTGTTTTTTTTTTTTTAAAAAATGCATATTCCTGCTGGGCTTGGTGGCTTAAACATCTACAGTCTCAGCACCTGGGAGGTGAAAATGGTAGTATCACAAATTGGAGGGTACGCCACCTTGGCTACATAGTGAAGTCAAGGCCTGCCTGAGCTGCATTGCAAGACTGTGTCTCAAAAACAAAATAAAACAAACTTCATGCATGTTTCTAAGTAGAAAATGAAAATATAAAAAATTATTAAGACAAATTAAACTACCCAGAGGTGATAGTTGTCCATTGTCTTTTTTTTCCCCTCATGTGATATATAATATGTATACAATTGGGTTATTGGTAGAGATTCTTCCTGCTTTTCCTCCATTTACACCACTTCTCTGGAAATAACATTTTAATCCCAAGCAGCATTGGCTGGGCTAATGGATTAGATATAATTCATTCATTTTAGGTGGATATTTATTCTTACAGGGTTGTAAGTACAAAAATACTTGGCCTGGGGATTTAGCTCAGTGGTTCTAGCACCTGCCTTGAGAGTGCAAGGTCCCAAGTTCGATCCCCGGTACCCAAAAAAAAAAAAAAAATTTGGGAAAGTGTCTGGTTTAATTTTCTGTTAGGTCAGTGTCCAAACAATTAGATGATTTTCTGAAACCAAATTACAAATTCAGCTAGAGTATAAACTCCTTGAAACGGGACAGTTTTTATGTCCTATACAGTACCATGTAGGATGGTAAGCACTTTGTCAGCATAGAAATATTTGTTGACTGATTGTTATGATGTTGTATCTCAAGTTTTTAAAAATGGGTATCATGTACAGTTATGTAAATAACTAAAATTTAATAACTTAAATATAAGCTATATTTAAATATACTATTTAAACAGGTATACAGTGAAGAGTTTTCTACTTCATATACTTAGTTTCTTTTTAGAATAATCAATAAGTTAACTGCACCTCCTTCTGAAATTTTTCATGTACATAAATATGAATATATGCATGTACCATATTCTTTTTATTTTTTAAACAGAAATGGAGCCTAATATACACATTGTACTGTACTTGCCTTATGAGATTTCCTTTTTACGAGCACGTTGAAGCCTGTCTTATTATTTAAATGTTGTCTAATATTTCTTTGAATGCCTTTTCTATAACTTATTCTATTAAGTTATTCAAGCTGTTATAAAAATATGCTGTTTAGATAGGATAGTTCATCAAATTGTAATGTGAAATTAAAGTTTAGATATTATCAATTTTTTTGTTTTTAGGGGTTAAAATTAGAGAAAGCTAAGTTATGCAGAGTGATTAAAAATACAGTGAGTATTTAAATTTTAAAAATACAGCCTGGTGTGGTGGTGCATACCTGTCATCCCAGGAATCAGGAGGCTGAGGCAGGAGGATCACTGTGAGTTTGAGGCCAGCCAGGGTTACATAGTGAGTTCAAGGCCAGCCTCAACTGCATAGCAAGACCTTGTTTGAAAAAAATGACCCATTGTCATTAATTTCCCTCAAAAAATTCCCTCTTGCTTCAAAGACACTTATCCTGGGCTGGGGATTTAGCTCAGTGGTTCTGCTGCCTGCCCAATGAGCGCAAGGTCCTCAGTTCAATCCCTGCTACCAAAAAAAAAAAAAAAAAAAAAAAGACACTTTTCCTATCTTTTTGCCATGTTCTGAAGCAAGGAAGACTTCTTTGTGTCTTTGGTTGCTCTGCCATTGCTGCGTTGATACCGGGAATTGATTCAGTATGTGTACCTTGGTCATTTTGACTTTGGGGAAGAGCCAGAAGTCACATGGTGTCAGAACCAGTGAATAAGGTGGGTGAAGACACTAATATTTTTACAAGTTGGCCTTTGTCATTGGATAGCACTTGTCAGTAGCATTAATCATATTTTTGATACCTTGTGAAGACATTCACAAAAAAGAACTCCCAGAACTGTTTCAGAAAGTGGCAAGAATGATGGGATAAATGTATTTGGAGTGAGACACAGTTTATTTATTTATTAATTCTTAAGTTCTTTTATTGGTACATTTTAGGTATACATTATGTTTACATTTGTCATTGGGTGCTTGTACCTGTACATGATGTATCTTGGTTCTTAGTTTTTCCCCATTACCTGTGCGCCCTTCCCTATTGACATAGACTTCATTTCCATTCTTTTTCTTTTCTCATAATTTTTCCTTTCTCTTCTTTCCTTTCCCCTTCCCCTCCCATCACCCCTACCCCTTTGGACTTTTCTTCCTATTTCAGATTATCAGTTATTCATTTTAATAATTTTAACCCTTATTTAC